TGGGCGGCTGGTTGCGCCAGCACCGTTTATCCCACCGTATTCACGCGTGTCGTCTCTTATCTGGATTGGATTGAGGAAAACACGATCTAAACCAATACAAATCTTGCTTCCAACTATGACACGTATTCTGTCTTTTGTTTCGTACAATTTTCTAATAATCGATTCTTAAAATTCACGAAAAGAGAGATATTGCTTCGACGTAAAAAATAATAAGAATGTGACATAGGGTTGTACATAATAGATGCCTTCAAAATTCTGTAAATATAAAAAAAAATAAATTGATTTATTTAAAAAAAAACACTGATGAATTTAATCTGTCCGAAGAAGTCGCAGCAAAAAATTATCGTGCGACTAATGCCATTTATAATTAATTATGAATCAAAATGTAGAGAAAGCAATGCTACGCGATCTGTTGCTTTGCAATACCAAACGCATACAAATATGTGCATAAAATATATAAATATGTATTTACAGATATACATATAAGGACCACTAGTTAAATAGATAAACAATTCAAAGGGACACATAGCGACTCATTAATTCAATTTAAATAATTTATCACTAAACTATAAAATTGAATCAAACAATTTTACAATCTGCATTCTAAAACGAGCAAATGAAAATGTTTTATTCGCTTATATATTACAATATAATATTATAAAAAAAACTTTTAAAATATTTTTATTATACGAAGCTACCGAAAAGCTTTGACAGAATGAAACCCTTTTGATTCCCGATCAACTCGATATAATCGCGTTACTTCTCTTTCTTCTCTATTTACTCTCTCTTTTCCTTTTCTTACACATCTTACGACCTCTCTTTCATTTTTTTCCTTTGAAGCGTCAAAGCGTCCTTGGGATAATTCGTCATGATAACTATATTTTATTGAGAACTTTATTGCAATAACTACGAAACCGTGAATTTTTTAGCTCGCAAATAAGTTAATACTTTCTTCATGACAGAGAAATTCTATAATTTATGAAAACAAATATAAAAACGGTCACGCTTATAAAACTCTACTAAATCGAACAAAAATATTCTCGATTGATTGCAGGACAAAAGCTTCATGACAGTAAATATTTTTAATAAATGTTTAAATGCAAAATAAATGTTAAGTACTTTGTATACATTTGTAAATACAAATAAATTTCGAAATAAATGTGTTCTTTACTGCTTATTGTTAGTGCTGCAAGTTCAGAGTAACTTTCCGATATTGACAAGCTTATACTATAAGTTTCTCTTTTGGATCTCACATATATATTGCACACTTACACTATTAATTACTAAGGCATCATTTTCGTGGAAACGTTTCTATGTTTATTTTGTACAACAATTATACACGATCGATAGATTTTGCGATAAATTCCCACTTTCAATACATGTAACAATTATTGTGCTTGGTGAACCTTTTACAAATATTAAGTATTGGAAAATATTTTGCGATGAAAATAATTTATGTACATATATGTAAAGTTAATTTATAAAACATGCTAATGTGTTTATCAAAGCCTTCCTAATAAGAAAGTTTTTGTAATACTGTGTTCTGTGTATCTGATTTGAATTAACAAGAGACAGTTATATAATAATGTTTATATAATAATGTTTACATAATAATGTTTATACAAACACACATACGCAATTTTTTATATTTGCGTTCTAGATATTGAAAACATTTTAATAATTACATTTGTACAAATTATTAAAATGTTTTCAATATCTAGAACGCAAATATAAAAAATTGCGTATGTGTGTTTGTATAAACATTATTATGTAAACATTATTATATAAACATTATTATATAACTGTCTCTTGTTAATTCAAATCAGATACACAGAACACAGTATTACACAACTGTCAACATACGAATGTCTGACTATCATTGACTTTTACTACTGTCGTAATATTAAACGAGTGACACTTTAATTTTGACAAAAAAATATAGTTATAAATAATATTCCTGTACACAGAAATCATTAGATGATGGATTTACGATTATCAGATAAACTAATTGTAAGTTTACTTTCACTATTGAAAGCAATCGTACTTATTGTTAGAAGAAGCTATCTAGGAGAGATACGAGATCACGTTTCCAATTTATGATCGAGTACACGGATCTAAATGCGTCTTCACAACTAAGTCTTAAACTCAAAGTCTTTGAACCTTCAAATTCTTGATTACGAATTCTTTATAAGGTCTATTAAATTTCTTCACCTCGAATAACTCTTGATTACACGGTAAAGACATAAAATATTCGTCACGTAAAAAATAGAGATTATAAATTTCAAACTTGTCTTACACTAAATCTGTCCACTTCGTCATCGCAATGGAATTCCATTGCGTTTCCACTCAGCAAAATCCATTTAAAAATCGTTCCTTGTTCGACGGAGGAAAGGGTCACATGCGATTACGAATTAAAACTTCACATTTTTTCAAATTAAATATTCGTTCCAGGAATTATGCGCCTGTGAGGATCTCATTCGATATAAAACAAAACGTATGGCACACGGGAATTAAAGTCAAGCTTTAGCACGAAACCAATAAAAAATTAATCTTTCTACTGCATTTATCACTAATATATCTAGAACCTTTATTCTTTTGTGCTATTAGTAACAACGTTGTAAGAGTTTCACCAAGCTCTACAGAATCGTTAATAATTAAAATATCTTTTTAATTATATTATAAATTATTATCTATTCTAAATCAAATATATTATAGCTAATCCTGCTGCATTGCCAATTTCGAATAAAAAATCCCAAATGAAAAAATTCTTTAAAATTATAAAAAGTTTCAACTGCGATATGACGATTATATAAGTATAATTATTTAAATTGTCAACTTTAATATTTTCAGTAAACAGAAATATAATAAAATTGACTGATATACATAAAGCCGCGACGAACTAAATTAGAGGAGAACTTTTTGAAATTTAACTTTTTAAAATTCTAATAACACTATCATCTACTTTTCAAAACAATTGATCGTTACAATCCATATCATTACATTTTCGATACGTCATAAACAGTTTATCTAATCTAGATTTCTTAAACCTAAAATACTTGATGATTGGGCTACTGATACAAAAGTGGAGTGACACAATAGAAGATAGGTACATATAAATTCGTATGATCTATGATTTCAAATCAGACTTTCATTAGTGATTGAATAATGATGTTGAGAATTTTGTGTCTCCTCAGTTTTCTGGCGTTTTCACACGGTGAGTAATTATCTTCTCGGGCTATAATCGATATCTAATCATTCGTTTAAATAAATACAAATTAATGTAGCTCCCTTAGAAGACATCCTTGTGAAAAAATCGCTTTACTGTGTGTTGGATTATTCAAATAAATGATTTTATTAGTCTGTCAATTCAATTATTAAATACGAATAAAGAAATACGACATTTGTCTCTTCTAGAATCTTCGATGAAACTTTGTAAAAAATTTACTAAACTCAAAAAGATCTGAAAATTCATTATTAAAATGATGTGCATCTGAGGAACGAACTATTACTTATGATTTAAATTTCTAATGTAAACATCGTATTTTTTTAGTCTTTTGGATTTATTTTATATAGTGATATAATGACCTATCGTTGCAGCTGGAGACCTTCCATTCTTTAATTCCCGGATCGTGAATGGAAAAGATGCTAAAGAGGGCGAAATTCCATATCAGGTATACAGTAACAAAACATGCATTTATTACGAATAAACAAAAATATTGTAATATATGCAAGTATATATATATATATATATATAAGTATATAAAATAGTTATATATAAATATTATATCAAATATACATATAAATATTTTCCATTGTGTGTGTAATTTAAAGCGTATGAAATTAATACAACAAATGAAAATACTATAGTGCTATGATTTTCACAGGTTTCTATTCAAAGAAAAAATTCCAACTTTCACTTCTGTGGCGGCTCAATTCTAAATGATAAATATGTCATTACGGCAGCTCACTGCGTTGAACAGTAATTTTATTACCATTATTATTATTTTTTTAATAATTTCATATATATGTCACGCTAACATATCCTTTCCTACGTACAAATATTATTTTACAGATATAAGAAACATGTCCTGTTCACTATGTATATATATTTAGACAAAAATTTTTTGTGTTTTAGTGAATACCTCAAAAATATAAAAGTTGTTGCTGCCACCATCAACCTGAATCAAAATAACTCGAAATCAGAACATAACGTCATAAAAATCATTGTGCACGAAGGATACCATGCATCTCAAACTTCGATTGTAAACGACATTGCTTTACTCAAGGTAAGCATGGCGTAAATTTTCTTTTTAAACGAGGAAAATAGGATCTTTGTAACGCTTTCTTAATAATTAAAAATTATAAATGACAAATAAATATCTGACATTCAGGTGCAAACTCCCTTCATAAAATCTGTCACCGTCAGACCCATTCCCCTGCCACCAAGAGGTCACGTCGTTAAGGCCAATGATGTAGCTGTTGTGTCGGGATGGGGCAGGCTCTGGGTGAGTCTTTTATCGTTATAAATATACCGTTTAATTTGTAACTTTCATATGAAAATATGGAAATAACGATTATTTGTATTTAATTATTATAATATCTTGAGATTTGCAATGTCTGCTATAAAAAAAATGAGAGAAAATCAATGTCACTCTACAGAAAATATAATTGTTATTATAAATTTACAGAAAGGAGGACCAACCACTACCAAGCTACAACGAGTCAACATTTTGATTGTTGGCCAAGACAACTGCTGGAACATATACGCGAGAAAGGGATTAAACATCTATCCTACGCATGTTTGCGCACATGATTCGTCAGCCAATAAAGGAATTTGCTTCGTAAATTTTTTTCAAGATTTCAACTATTATATCGATCAATTCATTTAATATCTGCATAGTAATAGTTTAATCGCAACCTCTTTTAAATGGTCAAATATTTGAAAGTATATTAAAAAAATGCACAAAAAAGATCTAGACCTAGAAATTGAAATGGTATCTTGCGTCTTTCAGGGTGACTCCGGTGGCCCACTGACTGTCGATGGAAAACTCGTTGGATTGGTATCCTGGTCAATTGATTGCGCCAACACAGCCTACCCTGGCGTATACACGCGTGTCGTCTCTTATCTGGACTGGATTGCAGCTAACGCAATCTAAATTCCGATCCTGTTTCCAACTACTATGACACTCTGTTTTTCATTTTATATATATTTTGTGATTATTAATTCTTAAAACACGGAAAAAAAATCTTTTTTTTTGTATAAAATATATACTACGATGTGATATAAGTACATAGTAGGTGCCCTCACAATTCTGTACACATTTTTAACAAAATAAATTGATTCAATCAAAGAAAACGCTAATGAATTTAATCTGCCGAAAAGATAATATCTGCTCTCTAAAAGTGAATCAGTCGAATTATCACCGCTTTTCAGTGTATATCAATTTTCAGTGACATACTTTGAACTGTGATAAACAGTGACTATTTCAATATTGTTTCAGTGATAATATTCTGATTCAAACAATGACTATCACTGAAAGAATGCGAGTTTCACTGCCAAGCAGTTTTGAGAGCTGAAATTTACTGTCTTTCAGTGATATTCACTGTCTGAATTAGTGTATTATTACAACATTGAAATTAAACAACATTGAAATAGTCACTGTTTATCAGTAGTTCTAAGTATGCCACTAGAAAATGATATATGTACACTGAAAATCAGTTATGGTTCTACTAATTCACTTTTAGGAAGTGTAAAAAGAATGAGAAAAAATTAATGCCACTCTACAGGAGGTATAATTGTTATTATAAATTTGCAGCAAGGAGGACCACTTCTAAGATACAACGAATCAACATTTTGACCAAGCCTACTGTAGGTACGAGAATATGCAGGAATATAACGTCTACCCCACGCAAGTGTGCGCATTTGACCTGTCATCTAAGATAGAATCTTACCACGTAAGTTTTCTTGACATTTCAACTCCCGATTATATCGATTTATATATTTAATATCTTTATAGTAATAGTTTAACCATAATCTTTTTTGAATGGTCAAATATTTAAAAGTGTAATAAAAAAATATACAAAACAAGATCCAGACATAAAATTCGAAATATCTATCTTGCTTCTTTCAGGGTGACTCCGGTGGCCTAATGACTATCGATGGAAAATTCGCTGCATTGCTATCCTGGACGGCTTGTCACGGTTTGTTCATCAGAATCTATCCTGGCGTGTGTCGAATCTTATCTAGATTGGATTGCAGATAATGCGGTCTAAATTTCGATCTTGCTTCCAATATGACACGTACTCTATTTTTCGTTTCATAGAATTTTCTAATTTTAATATTATTTCTTAAAACCCGGAAAATAAAAATACTTTTTCCATGTATGAAGTTATAACGATATGCACAGGATGTACATATAGTAGGTGTCATCAAAATTTTATATACATTTTTATTTATTTATTTTTTAACGAATTAAATTGAATTTATTCAAAGAAAATGAATTTTACCCCTGCCCGAAAAAGCCACGGCGAGGAGCTATCGTACGACGAGTGCCGTCCATCACTTATCACGAATCGAAATCCAGAGGGATTTCGACATAGAGCTATTGGATAGAGCGCAAGAGGTCGAATAGGACCTCGGTCCTGTCGCGAAATCAATACACCGTGACCGCGCGACGCTCACGTGTTGCTCTTATTTCCGGTGACACTTGGCAGAGCGGAAGCGGTCGATGCGCACGTTTTAACCGTAATTGACAGTCATAATCGCAGAGCAGCGTCTCTATTCAGGAAAACATGATCGTAGATAAAAGATGTTCGTTAATTGCGTCATTAGCAGCTCGGCTAAATGCATTCTTATTACTTTCTTTATGACGTCCGGCGACTTTGCGAGTGTGGAAAAGAAAATGGAAAATAATACGTGACGTTTCTTCAAAAAAACTAGACGCGCACGCCCTCAAGATTTACGGACGAAGAAAAGGCAGTTCGAGAACGGAAGAGGAACTTTCCGCAAGCTGCGACCCCGAGAAGGAGAAAAACGACATAAAAATATAGACGAACTTATTACATTTGTTTCTTTTTCTAAGAAGTAACTAATAGCAAACGTTAGAAACTTTTCGAATAAGAACAAGACGAGCCGTAACTGCAATGAGGCGACTGCTATACTCGACAAGAAAGCGCGAGCGCGAATCGTTCATACCGAATTCTGTTCTGCCACCGTATTTACATTGCTAATGAAATTTCATTTCTGCTTTCGCCGTTCTTCCTTCAAGAGGCGCGTGATAGGCTTCTACATCGCTCTTTGATTTTATTTTATTATACGACAATAAAACGGTCGTAAAGTTGCTCATTTCCGGAAATTATTATTAAGTACAAACGTCTGTTATTAAGTTCTTCTTCCGAGCATTTTATTAAAAAAATATCCTCAATGATTTCACGAAATTCAAATTCGCTATTTGTGTGAAAAATTAATTTCACAATTTTGTTGGTATAACTGTATATAGCAAAATTTTCATATCTGTTAAATTCTCAGAAATTAATTTGTCGCGCAGAGACGGAAGGCTACTTTCCGTCCCACTAACAACGTTTCGACTCAGCACGTAACAGATGTTATAAACTGTCTCTCACTATATCGCGCATAAATATTCCGGAATAACTTTATGGTTCAGAATCGCGTACTAAATATATAGTATATTTAGTGTTGGTTGGCCGAAATAAAATATATAATATATATATATACACACACACACACACATATATACACATACTGTGAAGACCATATTCCCCAGCCAAACTATCCGAGCAGATACGTAAACTTGTATAGTTTGCAGAGCTTATATGTGTCCCCCCCCCCCAGTTCTAGAGAGCTAATTTCTACAGTATTACAGTATTATGAAGTAGCTGCAAAAGCATTATTCTCTCCCATAACTGCGCATAAAGTAGTATTTACAATCGTGCCTTTGTGCAGCGCGTGTAACTTTGTGATGATACAATACTTAAATCCAAGCAGGAAAGAATATTACTCTCTGTTTCAAAACTATATGAGTACAGCTATACGTAGCAAGACTGCTAATTAAATTGAAAATTCAAACGGACACCATTTGTTACCTAGATCTAAATGGTTTATTACTAAACCATGAAATCAAATCAAATAATTTTGCATTATAAAAATATGTCAGATAATTCGACGTTCATTCGCAGAGTCGTGATCTCAATTAAATCATTTATTAACTTTGCATTCTAAAACAAATAGAAATGTTAGTATGTATAGGAGAAACATTTTTTGATATTTTGACGAAGTCACTGAAAAACTTTTGACGGAACAAAGCCCTTTTGATTCGCGATCAATTCGACATCGCGCTGCTCCTCTTTCCTCTCCATCTCTGCCTTCTCTCTCTTTTCCTTTTCTTGCACATCTTACGACTTTCCTTTCATTACTCTTTTTGGACCCGCAAAACGACCTTGGGATAAGTAACCGCGACAACTCAATTTTATTGGGATTTTATCGGAATAACCACGAAGTCGTAGGTTTTAGCACGCGAATAAGTTAATGCTTTATTAATGACGACAGAAAATAGTAAAATTCTATAATTTATGAAAATGAAACAAGAATGTGATCAAGCTTGTAAAACTTTACTAAGTCTTCTATAAAAATATCGACAATCATTCGATTGATAAGATTGATTGCAGAACATATAAGATTTATGTAAAGTCATAAGCTATATATTCCAGTAAATTATTCAATTTTAGTAAATATTAAATATTTTTTATTTAATATTAGATATTAAATATAAATTTTAAGATAAAGTAAATTTCAAAATAAATGTATTTTGCTACTTAATACTGCACGTATATGTTCAGAGTAGCTTCCGGATATTGACAAGTTTACTGTAAGTGTTCCTCTCTCGGGTTCTCTCATACATTGCCACACGTACACCAATAACCACTGAAGCATAATTTTCGTAAAGACATTTCCATAGGGCCTTTACCTCATTTTGTGTAACGATTATACACGATTAGATTTTGCAGTGAATATCCATATACTTTCAATATATATATAATAGCAATTACTGTGCCCGATGAACCTTCAAATATTAAATATTGGCGAATTTTACGATAAAAACAATTTATATATATGTGAAATTAATTTACAAAACGCGTGCGTATTAATATTACGATATTAATCACAAAAACTTCTTTATCAAAAAGTTAGGCTTTTATAAACGCAAGCGTGTTTTGTAAATTAACTTCGCATATATATAAATTGTTTCTTCAATAAATGATATTTATATCTTAGGTATATTAAAAATGTTTAAATAATTTGTACAGAAAATATGACTTTCAACGTACGAGTATCTGACTATCATTGACTTTTAATACTTTTGTTATGTTGAACGTATGAAAGACTTTAATTTAGACAAAAACATCTGCGCACTGTTTTAGTACAAGAAATGTAATTATGAATAATATTCCTGTGCACAGTAGTCATTAGCTGATGATTTTACAAGCTGGATTTACAAGATGGATTCCCGATTATCGGATAAACTAAGTTTGCCTTTACTACTGAAAGCAATCGCAGCTACCTCGGAGAGACATAAGATCTCCCGTTTCCAATCTACGAGTAAATGGCCGCATAAACGGATTTAAATGAGCTCTGAAAATCGTAAATCATAAACTCAAAACTTGTACTTCGCGTCTTTAAATGTTGATCGAATTCTCGATGTGGTCTATTAAATTACTCCACCTCGAATAAACTCTTGATTGCACGGTAATGACATAAAATATTTGCAATATGACATAAAAAAAATAAAGATTATAAGTTCCAGATCTGTCTTACGTACGAAATCTTTCCATTTTGTCATTTCATATAGAATTCCACTGCGTTGACATTCAGCGAAATCCATTAAAGAAGTCTCGTTCTATAAAAACGAATACCGGAGGAAAGCGTCACGACTATGAGTTATAGCTTCGCATCCTTTCAAATTAAATATTCTTTCCAGGAATGCGTACCTGAGAGTCTTTAATTCGATATGGAGTAGCACGCGCAGCGCACGACGTACGCAATTAAGTCAAGCTTTGGCACGAGACCAAATCAAATCTTTTCAACTGCCTTTTATCACTAATATACATTGAAGCTTTATTTTTTCGTACCAGTATTATAAAAGTTTTCAGAAAGTTTTATACGACCGACGAAATTGCGTTTTGCAGAATTTGAATATTAAATATTAAATAATATTTGAATGACAGTAATTTATCCAGAGCGCAGATATGATTAATGTTATTTATAGTATTGCGATAGAGATAAAATAATATCATGCAATACTATTTTAACGTCGTAACAAAGGTAATCTTTATTCCATACATAGCATCATACCATCAAAGTTTGAACAACTCACCTGACGTCGAGTATAAGACTTTTCTTTGATACTCTAGAGACTTTGAGACACTATTGCAATAGGATATATACACGAGAAAGTGAACCAAAGTTATAATGTTCACATGAGTCATCATGTGAATCTTTACTTTCTTTCCTGTTACAGTTATGTACCCCACTTAGAAAGTAATTTAAAACAAAATGAGTGAACAATTCTCTCGTGATATCGTTTCTCATCGTGGTCTCTTTGTCTCTTTGTATTATGACCTATGACTGGTCACATTAAACGTAAATTCTATTATTTTGTTAAAACGCATCGAAAAATAGCTCAAAAAATAGTTCAAAGGCTATTTCCGCATTGTCCTCGCATTGTCTCATGCCATATCCCGTAAGAGACATTGAAATATCTCGTTTAAGGACATACCGGCGATACTCGGTGCGCGCAATCCTAATTGGGCGCGAGGCCAAAAGCGGACACTCACCTGTTTGCGGAGCGGCGTGACGCACTCGTCCTTGGTACGCTCGAAGCGCTCGAACTTGAAGCTATTGCTGCGGTAGAGCTCGTTGTCACTCTGTTGCCTCCTGCAGAGCCGTCGCGTGAGCGCGCGTGGTCTGCAGGGCGCACATTCGGTGGCGAGCTCCCAGTGCAAATGCAGCATCGCGAGCTCGGCGGTGCAACGTGCCATCGCGCAGCCGGCGCGCCTCACGCGGCACTTGACCCGCTTGATGCGGCCCTCGGGCTGCGGCTTGTGGCCGCAGGGCTGCGTGCCGCTGCAGCTGCAGTCCGTGCACGTGCGGCGCGTACGGCGCGTTTTCACCGTGTGCGAGCACGGCTTCGCCTCCTCGCCACACTCGCACTCGCACGGCGCCTCGCCGCCGGCTGTGTGGGTGCAATTTGATTTCTCGTCGGCGCACTCGCACGGCTGCTGCTGCTGTGACTGTTGCAGCTGCAACTGCGTGGAGGAGACAGGCGAGGACGAGGATTGCGCGGTCGTTCGCCGACGAGTACCGGAGTAGCTGTAGATCGCGTGCCGACAGGAACGATCCGTGCACTCGCATCTGCAACAAGGAAGGTATTAATGAATTAAAAGAGCGAATGAACAGTGTCAAATTAAACAGATATTAAAACAAAAAAATAACTTTCTCCGTCTTTTATTTCTGACATTTTCCACTTATAAACTTAAATTAAAAATTACGTATAATTTCTTTATTTCAAGTCATACGAATCGTAAACGTTGTTGCTTTCAAAGCGTTGTTATTGATCTTTCTAAGATTTAAATACCATAGTTTAAGCAATTATGCAAGTATCCAGATATTACTGGAAAACATTGATTTTCATAACGGTCGCGACATACTTTGCCCAGGATATTTGATGGCCGCAAGTTGGACCGCGAGAGTCCCTATCGACTATTGGAAATTTTATTTAGAGTATTATCGCGCACAATATGATATCGTAAAAACGGAAAGACCATGGCTCAAGGCAAAAAAAAAACTCAGGTCAGTATCTAAGATCGTTTAAATGCGGCTAATCGTGACTAAATTTCGAAGAATTCAGATAATTGCATCGTCAATTAAATTGACGTCATTATTGAATTTATTTCTCAGTTTATTTTCTTCATTTCGATATTAAATTTGCATGTCTTGAATTTCTTACGTTTTCCATATTTCTTTATTAATGAGTCTCTTTCGCCAAGAAACTTATATGCAACACAAACATCTCTCTATTTATTTATACGAGTTAACGCATATATTATAAAGTATAAATTGCATTGTGATTGCGAGGAACAGCTTAATTTGTGATAAATTCGCGTTAATATATCCATAAATGCGCACGTACGAAAGATAATGTTTACTCCGTAATTTAATAAAATCACATACGACTCGCGATATTCATGTGCCAGAAATGCAAATAAATGTACAATATTCGCTGCATAATTCGCCGTAGCACGTGGCGCTTCATAAATCAATATCTCGGCGTTTCAGAAAAGAGATAAAAGAGATCGCGCGAATTGGTATACTCAGGTTCAGGACGGACGAAGATTTGCCTCCGTTATGAGGACATGAAAATGCTTTCAAACGTTTCGCCACCGCGAAAGTTCTCCCATATTAATTCAGACAAGGTAATCGCCTTGTTTACCCTACAAATGAACAGCTGCGTCAACCTCGGGCAAGTTTGGCCGCCGAGTGAATCTCGGGCAGGTCCAACGGGTTAAATATACCTAACTAACTACTTGCGTTTCGCCTAAAACCTGCTTACGATCGGCGCAAGTGCCAACATCACGTTGCCTCCTGACCTCCACCATGCCATCCACCCCTTTCGCGATCTTTCAGAGCGCAGTCGAGCTTTATATAATCGATCATCATCTATCGCTATTACATCACGATACCAAAAATTACCATTGATAAAAAAATTTCGCGAATTAAAATAACACGAATTAAAAAATTTGTAGAGGAAAATATGGTAAACTGGAGCACTCTATATGGATGTAACTGTTGCTCGTTATTTCCACTCTTATCGATCGAACGAAGCAACCTGAAAATTCTAAAGGGAACTCACTCGACGACATTCTTTCAGAGAAATTTATCACGGCATAATGCCGCGATATCTACGCGAATACCAATAATTTTTCGATTATCTACCGCCGGAAGGTCATTGGTCAACAAGTGCTATCGACCGAATAAGGCGGTGCAGTGTCTCTCTCGCGTTCTGTATGCACTGCAACAGAAATAATTGGAATCTTACGAACCTACCCCAATCTTCAACCTACCCCCAGCGACAACAGAGCCAGCTGGTCTTTACGGTACAGGGTGGAACACATAATAAGCGCTCTTACGTCCGGCGTAATTTATTTACCTTCTGACCCTTCGCAGGGCCGATCGCTGTGCATGCGGACAGGGCTGCAATTCCGGCGGACAGTCGCAGCTGACGATGGCCGCGGCGGCGGCGGCCGCGGCGGCGGAAGCCGGCCGCGTACGACGAACCCTGATTAGCACTGGATGCACCGGGCACGGCTGCACCTGACAGCCGCAGACGATGGTCTGGGGCCCGCCGCCGGAGCTGCCGCGGGACTTACGGCCGCCGCCGCCGCGCCTCGCGCGCTGGTCCACGTGCAGCTGACAGGGCTGCACGGGGCAGCCGCAACGGGCCGCGGCGCCGCGACGCCCGGCACCCTGTACGCGTTTCCACACCCGCTCCATTCAACGACCGGCGTGCGACTGACAATCGGCCGCCCCACACCATCGCCAATCCGGCGGATCGCGCGGGCGCGCGAACCCGCTTCGATCCTCTCCGCGCGACCTCGGTCGCACTCGGCTACGTCGCTCTCTCATTCTATCTCTGGGGGATGAAACACCCCCTTCTGGCTCTCGTGGTGCGCGCTGGTCCACGCTGCCTCCCTCGCGCCCTCGCGTACCGCGGCTCACTCGTTCCTTCCCACCGAATGCGCGTGGGCGCACGGACAAATCCGGGCGTTTACCCTGAGTGAAAGGTCACCGTTGACTTCTTCGCGAGATCCCACGCGATAATATTGCTTTGGTACAGACGCGAATCAAGATAATTGATGTTTGCCTCCGAGCTCGAGAACCGGAAAGATCTTAGTAATGCGATATGATAAAAGAATTACTACGTGCGTGTTCCTTTTTAATAAACATCCGACTTCACGTTGAAGCTGTGCTTGTATATTAGAGGATATTTTGAAAGACGTCTAAAAATTTTTATTTACAAAAATTTGCAATATACAAAGTTATATAAACACCAATTGTGTTGTACAAAAACATATATCCTCAGAAAATGTAATTAATAATCCTTTATTGATAAGAAACGCCTCATTTTCCTATGCAAAATTCAACTAATCATCACACACGTTAAGTTGATCGCGTGGTACTTAAAACAGAAGCGGCAAATATCTGCTGTAGAATTCGTGGTATATTCTTAAGGTCCATGCACACGAATGCGCGACCAGAAGGCATCTTCTTCATCAATCTAAAAATAGCAAGTTCTTTTAATTAAAATCGATTGTCAAAAGAAAAGGCAAATAACAAGGCGATAAATTGTTTTTATCGTAAAACTACCTGGTCGCCTGATCACCCAGCGATCCAATAAAAATCGCGTAGGCATTTACGTCCGCGTTGGACGTTAATAATTTTGCGAATCGCTGAGGAGAAATCCCGTAACGGTCTAGATTCGCATCCGAGAGTACAACTACGATCGACTCGTCGGAATCCTCTTTCGCCAGGCTCGCAATTGCGTGCTGCGTCGCCTCCAACGTATGATCGCCGGACATGCAAAATTGCGAGTGAGCGTGCATCGTCTGCGCAGACAAATAATACCTCGTCAATTAAATCGCATGATGGCTTTCGTGGGAAAAACAGCAGAAATGAATCTACTCGCCTTAATCACCTCCAGTCTCCGTTTATTGTCCGTCGGCGGTTGCGTGCGATCGACGAAGACGATGCGGTAATCGTCGCCGGAATGGCCGACGATGTCGTACTGAAATTTGCCTTCGTAGCCGCTGAAAGCCTCCATTACCATGACACAGGCCTCCAACTCGCGATCCAGCCGGCCGTCGTAGCCGTTGAATCTGTACATGCTGCCGGACACGTCCGCGACGAGTCTCAGTCGCTTCGGCTTCAATTGCGGAGCGCCGATCTCCGGCTCCTTCTCCGCCCTCCGCCGATAAATCGTTTTCTCGCCCGTTAATCCCTCGATTAACTTCGTATCGTCCAGCTCGCCCGACGTCTGATGCCTGCACCACTGCCGCTCCTTGCTCTTCGCCTGCAGCGTACCTGTAAATGGCATGCGAGCGCACGATATAAGAAATACCGATTTCCACAAAAGGAAAGATTTCCTCCGGATTCGGGACTTAGGACGCTCACCTAGGATGACTCTCAAGGCCTGCACTTGATTGTGAACCGCGTCGCTGAATTGACTGTACATCTTGTGATCGTACTCGCTCATTCTTATGTCCTTGAGCCGCTGCTTGAACGCGCGAAGACCCATCTCGCGAGCGGCTTTCTTTATATGTTCCGGCACCGCGTTCTTCTCCTCGTCACTGAGTTGATGCACCGTGTGCCCTGCATCCAGTCGATACGGACCACCCTTTCCGCCCAAGCCCGCCGTATCTCTGCCTAAAATATAATTTCGTGCGCGTTCCTATTTTAATAGTTGCCGATCAGGTACAGAAGATAATACTTTAATACTTTAACGCAACAACGTGTAATTTCCTGTTGTGATTTATCTCGCTTTAATATACCCGTACCTCCGGTTCCCCCGGCCCAAGTGTTGCCGCCCACGTGCGGCTCATTATTCTTATCGACCTTTCCGTGTTTCGGCCCGCTGACATCCTGCCCCGAATACCTCTCTTTGGTGATCTGCAGCTTTTCCTCGCCGGCGCCTATCATTTTACGCCACGCGCCTAACGACTTTTCTATATTCGTGATTGATGTCTCCCATAAACGAACGCAGCCACCGGCGTCTATTGTAACGAGACCTTCGTTCGACGTAAGTGACGCATAAAGCGGAAGGTCCTTCGCATACAGCCACTGTGTCAATGGCGAGACGTTAACCGGTCTATAAGGTAATAGAGATTTAATGATTTTTCTCAGTTATTCCATCGGAAAGAAATACACGCAATAATAGCAAAGATATATACGCGGGCGTTATATCAATATTATTTTTTTTCAAAGAATATTAGAAGTGTGAATAAAATAACATTCTAACAGCTATTATTTTTCATATTAAATTCTCGCCTGTCGCGAGTTTACTTACTCCGGAATAGGTATGTATCGCAGCTTGTGGTTTACCGTGTCGACTATCTCTAAGTAACCGGAAATTCCCGCGTGTTTTGTGTCCTTCGGATAAACTTCCTCGGGTACCTGACTCGACGAGATCGTTCTGATCACTTGCCCGTTCTGCGTAACGATGGGCGTTATGAAGCTGCGCGTTCTTCCTCCCCTCGGCCAGAAGTGCAGCTCGTTAGAGCTGTCCAAATCGGGAAATCCCGTCGCTATGCCGGCGTACGTGTTATCGGTCACCAGAAGTCTATTCGGACAGTCTATTTTCTGCTGAAGAGCCTTGCTCAGCTCCGTTTTGTGCAGACTGCTGCTGCCGCAATTCAAGACACTGCCGGTCTTCAGATCGACGCTGTTGGACTCGTCCAATTTGCGCAACACGCTCGGGCACGGGTCAGAATCGGTGGATTTCGTAAGAATGTACTTATCCTTGGACGCGTCCTGTATCAACCACTTCCCGTCGGACGCGAGTAAGACCGATTCGACGTTGCACGGCAAACTCATCGAGTAAGCGTACATGTTTTGCAAATTGATAATTTCGAGTTTGTCGTTGTCCTGCGTGTACAAGACAATCAAATTATGCGACGGGAGTAGATTCGCGTTCATCTTCCATTGAAAATTTTTGCTCCTGAAGGCGTTCGACAGTCTGTCGCTGGCGACATCCAGAAAAGACGAAAACTGCAGTTCTCGAACCGAACCCTCGTTTACGTTTACCACGAGTAGAGAATTGCTCTAAAACCGATCGATCCTCATGAATACTATCGCCGAGCAAAAGCGATTTATGTTAATGATTTGTATTACTCACAGTTTCTTCGTGAACTAAAACGTCTCCGAGATTGTCGATCGCGATGTTGTAAAACGGCATATTGCCCCTGGCGGGGCTGATTAAGCCTTGCAGAGACGTTTCGCGAATCTGCTCGGATTCCGGTGTCATGCTAAATACACTTAAAGGATTCGACGTGAGAACGTGTATCCTGTCGTCCGTACCATCCCCTTTACTTCCATGCGCGACCGTTAAAGCGGTCACCGTGCTGTTTTCGCTAATGGGTATCGTCCAGTAACTCTGGAGTTCCGTGAACCAGGCCGATCTGGCCTCAACTCGATCTAGAGTTCGATCGCTTTGCGACGGGAATGTTGGCGGTTTCAACTTAACGTACCTTTCCTGCACGGGTATATTTTGGAACGTGTTCAAAACGTTCCAACTGCCGCAGATCTTCATCTCGGGCAAAGGTATTCTGTAATGGAAAAGGGGGGAGAACATTGTGCGCGTATGTGTGTGAAAGTTATTATCTTACATATCTTTATCTTCAGATTTTTATTTATTATACGACGTATAACAATAAATCCGTTGTATATTAAAAAATTGGTAAAATACATTACAAAATTGTCCGAATTAATTATATTTCCTGCTTGTGTCTATCTGATTTATAAATATCTTGCGAAATATTCAAAGAGCACGGTAAAGATTATCTTACTCCTTAGCCAAGGCAACATTGGTTGGACTCGTTCCAACGGGAATTCCATGCTTATGAAGCACTGTTACCAAAGTGTCGAATATTTCCTGGCTATATCGATCAAAGTCGAAGACATTGCGCACTACGGTGCCCAACGGTTCGTTCGGAAATTTCTACAATTAAAAAAAAAGTGTCATCAATTTCATCGTCATCGATCTGTCGTTCTAAAAAGTCCTCGTTATTAGCTCACCTCTAGATGCTTAACTATATTAACAACTTCTCGGGTCGAGTATGGATACGAGACTAAACCTTGATCGGCCATACTTCTCAGGTCGCCGAAAGTTCTCACTAATGTATGTATCGTCCGCTCGTCTACGTGCGGACCGTATTGCTTCAGCAGCTGAATCTCGCTTCGCGTACTCGGATTGTCGACGGAATGCGTGCTGAACAGGTCCCCGAGAGCGCCGAAAAAATCATTGCCCAGAAACGGGAAGCCCGGTCTGTTCGCTAACACGATCATCCTGAAGTCCGGGTGCATGGGTATGATGTTCGCGTTGCGGGCGTCGCCGCTGGCACGGGGGACAATTCGTCTACCGTCCGACAGAATCATTTCGCCCGACTCCACCAGGGTCTGAAAATGACAGGATTCGTCTCTCGCACGACCGACAAAGTATGTTCGCGCCATAATGGCTCTGGCTATCGTCAAGTACGTACTTTCAATATACACGTCACGTGCGTGGGCGCTTTGTCCGCCTCGTCGACGACGAGGACGTGGCCCAGTTTAACGGCCTGCACGAGCGGCGAGTCCTCGTAGACGACTTTGCCGTCCCTGACCATCGGCTGCAGGGTCAAAGTTTGCACGGTCGTGTCGCGGTGCAGCTGAATGTACTCGCGCGGCCTGTTGAGCAGCTGCAGCAGCCGGTCCACGACCTTGTTCTTGCCGACGCCCTGATTGCCGACCAGCAGGAGATTCTGTCCCAGGCTGAAGTCCTGCAGCAACCGCTCCAAGATCGCGACATGCTCCGGCACGTCGTAGAACAGGATGTCGGGTACTTTACTGTGCGCCGCGGTGCGATACCGATCTACGACGGTGTCGCCGATCTTCACGGAGTCTCCCGTCACCGAGCACTCGATCGCCGAATCTGCCGCAGATTCCGGCGGAACGATGCCAAGGCGACGGCAAGAATCCTCGAGTGCCTCTCTCGCGATCGTCGGCAAGAAGCGCGCCAGACACGCTCGTTGCACCGCGCTGTAAGCGTCATCGCACTGGAATCGGTGCATTCGCTCGGCGATTCGCAGAAGCTGCCGGGTGCTGAGCGATCCGGCGAGAGACAGTAAGGTCGGATCGTTGGACGAACGTAAGACATGCGCTAATTCTACGATACTCAGTAACGCTTTGCTGGGTTCCCCGAACTGCAACAGAGTACTCGATGAGAATCTATCCGCGATCGAAGACGCGTCAACACTACAAGCTACCCTACGATCACCTTCGACTGAATAATATGAATCTCCTCGCGCTTGTCGAGCGGCCTCATCTCGTGGAAGAGGAACAAACTGAGCAGCTCGGAATTCAACCACTGGCCGGACGAGCTATTGACGACCGGCGGCTCGGCCAAGGCTATCAGCCTGAAGGCGGGATGGATTCGCAGAACACCGCGGTCGCGCATCTCCTCGTCGGATCTGTTATACTCTCTCTTTATTTCGTCGTAACGATCGGCTCGTATGAGCCGCTTACCGTCGTGCAACTGCAGCTCCCGATCGTGGACTAATCTAAGGGCAAACGCGGGCGTCGCCGTTACACGTTATCGTTAGCTTGAAGTTCGTCTATTAAATGTCGCACCCGGCGAACAACGCGATATACCTGTGCAGTATAGCTAAAGTACTGGAATGTATCCTGTTGATGCCGTCCAACACGGCCAGTTTGCCGTGCAGGGCCGCGTCGACCAGCGGCGAATCTCTCCAGACCGTGTCGCCGTTAAGCGACGTGGTCCGTTGTTGTATCAGGTCCCTGGAAGTCATATCCTAAGAAAATATTTCAACCGTTTCATTTCTCGAACGAATTGCCGCAATCGCCGTTGTAAACGCGAGTGATTCTTTTAAGTTGGAGCTCAGAGTTGTCATTTTTTGCTCCTGTCACAAAAGACAATATTGAAAACTAACGTTCACTTTCGCGAAAAATGACTTGCCTGATAAAGCACTATTGGCTCCACTTGATACCCTAATAAATCGGCGAGCCGTCGAACGGTGGTGGACTTGCCGCAGCCTTTCGGTCCGATCAAGCAGAAATCGGACGTCAAATGGGATTCCAGCATGCCCGCCAGCAAGTTATTCTGATAATTAGTCTCTACATAATAATCATTGTTCGCGCTAGATAACTGGCTCGTGCCGCAGGGAACCTATATTCGCAAAATAGATTCAGACGCTTAGCAGCGGTGGTCGTCAATAACGTAGGAATGATGCAAGCGAGTAATTATTTATAGCTTACGTGGAAAGTTGTTTTCGCGTTATCGTGTTTTATGCTGATCTCCAAGAAATCGTCAGCTTTCTTGGTGGCATCTATTTTACTGGTAACGGTACGCTTCGTTTTAGAATCGTTCAATACGCTAAACGTTCCAAGGATATCCTCAACGGCATTCTGACCCTCTTTACCCAAAAATAGTTTGTACGGATAAAACCTGTAGAAAACGTCGTACACCGACAAGTCTGGATTTTTGTCCTAAGCACAAACACCGCGAAATTAGCGTAAAAATGTCGACAAAACATCACCGCAATATCAATGCAGAGGCCAGAAATTTACCATAATTAAAGCGGCCGACGATAAATTGTCCAAGGGAAAATCTGGCAGGCCTATGGTGACGGCTTCTTGGGTAACTAATGCGTGAGCACACGATAACAATTGCGACAACTTCCCAGCGTCGACGTTCGGCGCTAAGTTTCTCAAGACCTCAAATTGTTCCTTAAAAATCAAATCTTGATATATATGATACCTTGACATTCCCTTTCCCCC